GTGGTGGTGGTGGTGGTGGTGGTGGTGGTGGTGGTGGTGGTGGTGGTGGTGGTGGTGGTGGTACAGATTTAACTAGAAGTCATCATCAAAGATATGCGTGAATATAATCGCAGCATTCGGAACATAGGAACGTTTCAATATGGCAATGGTTAGAGAAGCAATTTATAAACTAGCTAAGTGCATTCTACCCAGGAAGATCTAAGTTTTTGCCAAAGCGAATTAAAGCAGGATCACGATGCCTTTTCAATCAAATCTCCCCTGAGGAAAAAAATACAACCGAACCCTTGCAAAGTCGTTCATGCTCTCATCCATTTGGTGCAACGAGCATGGAATTTCCCAAGAGAGCATGCTGCAATCAAGTATGGAACATTATAGTTTCGGAGCGCCGATTACCTAACCAGGCGCCATGTAATCCAAGTCATCCACAGACATTGGGTCCATGGAATACTACCAATATTTGTCTTAAAATAGCCGATGTAGAAGACAGCGGTGTTGTAAGCTGAAAATATCGCCTATTCGATTTGTGGTGACACTAAACCCACGCCACAAGATACAACCTTTGTTTCCATGCATGCACACACACACACACACACACACACACACACACACACGTAAACACGTTTGAGCGGGAAACGCGGTGCTTTAAGGTGCTGTTAGAGTGCTCATCCGTGAAGCTTTAGACAAGATACGGATCAACCTTCAAATCCACAGGTTTGCATGATAAAATCAAAAATTACGAAATATGAATACTTGTTATTCCAGAGGAGAACATATGACACGGCGGCATCAAATGTGGGAAATAACCGTGCAAAATGCCTTCAACAACCGTCTTCTAACAAAAAAGGCACTACTTATGTCATGTCTCGCAATGTTTTATAAACACATTTGAATATACATAAATAAAAGGTGACTGTTCACTTCCGTTTTACGTCTTTTTAAAACCTAAACAAATTAGCAGGAAAGAAAAGTAAATAGAAGACCATAAAAAACGTCTGACACTAAAGTGCATGTAAATAAGCAAAAATAAGCGATGATAATACAACAATCGTCGAATGACAGCCAATTTCCAGTGTTAATTTTATACAAATCTACCACAAATCATCGAAGAGACATCTACACGCCCTATAAAGAAACTAAATTATAAAAAAACCAATTGAAATGACTATAGAGACATACGGAGGGACTTCCGCGGGGCTCCCCCTCCATCCAATTGGTGAAATCCACCGAAGGTTCTGAGGAATTAGCCCAATGATGCTCGCTGCCGTTTCGCGTGAGACCAAGCCAAAAGACCGAGTCGTAGTCAGCCAGCATCGCAATCAGGAAATCTAGACAGTAAGAGTAGGGCGAATGCACTTCTCTGTATGAAGTGTTAGACACGTGGTGGGCGGAATCTTATGAATGACAGTTTGGGTCACTTTTGCAGTCGTCATTGTTTCAAATCGGGTTTATCAATATTGGAAAAATTATATGAAATGTCATTCTGATAATCCCCTTCATTAGAATATACAGGAAAGTTTCACATGGGGGGCGCATTCTCTATCCTTCACAAATTTTAGTTAATGGGTCAGCTGTCATAGCACAACATGAATGGACAAAATTACAATTCCCCGGGAATGGTGGAAGATCAGTTCTAGAATGGTGACGATTCATTTTCTCAAAAATGACTGTGTGTGGGTAACCGCAGCGCCTAAATACCAGGGAACAAAATAGCGCTGGAGAGAGATAGCCTAGAGGCGAACAAGACCGAAAACTTTGGTTGCGAAAGTCCTTTTCTTCATCGTGGGTAATAGGAAACAAAATCGGGCCAGATCCAACTCAGTGGTCCCGGCGTGGCTCAAGATCACATTCTGGGGTCCACAAAAAGTAAAAAACGTGTTCGAGTACTTTACATTCAATTGAATTTGAACACACAATTTGGGCTAAGAATAAAATTACTTCGAAAAACACTTTTCGAAGTGCAGCAATATATATGTCTATGTCACTAAGAGGATTTAAAGGTGACAAAGTCTCAGAAAAGTTAGTTTGCGTAAAAACACAACCAGTGGATGCGCATCAAATTTGGCTCAAATTGACCCCCGGGTTGCCAAAAATATGCCATCAATATTTTTTTCTGCATACGGTACACACACGCACACTCCTTCATCATACAATACGCCTTTAACTACTCAACACACTCGAAATAAGAGGCGATACTGCAAGTGCCCAATTTCATGAGAAAAGAAGGTGCAGGATGGTTATGGTAGATTTTAAGAGATTTCTGTTGCGACGAAAAAAGATTCAATTTAAAGTACGCGTTTTTGATTTGATTATCCGAAGACCCACAGTAAAAGTAAAATTAGACATCTTCAGGTTTTTTATACTTAGTGCTTTTATAGCAGCGGGTTAGATGTTGACTACGCATAAGCGCTGACGATAATTATTCGGACGACCAGATTCCTTAGGCTGAAGGGCGAAAATTTGGTGAACATGATGGAATGCTTGAACTAGTACTAAAGAAAGGATCAACGTACCTTGTTCTCTAAAGGATCGTATGCTGAGAACAGATGCGTTAAGCAACGAACACGAGGCCACAGCCTCCTCGTAAGTGACCTTCGCCTCAGTAAAAAACTATAAACAAAATGGGAACAATAAACTACCTCACAAACCAGATTAGTTGCCTCAAATGAAGCTAAATTGCAATGTCTTACAGTGGATGGTCACCAAAATTTTCTACCTATTAGTGTGGCAACTACAATACTGGGTTTGTTTAAGGATTGATTGACTCAAGTAAAACGGGTTTAAATATAAAGACGTTGGAGATTAACAGGCGAAATTTTAGCCCAAAGATAAACTGCAAGTTCAGTAATAAAGTTTATTCAGAATAAATACGACCTGGTGAAGACGGATTAGTTTTGTGGTCATAGCTTAATTCATTGGATCTTGGCTTACACTAAACCATCAAAATAATTTTAGAGGCACCGGCAATGTTGAATGAGTGAATAAATTACTTACCCGAAAACAGCGAGGCCCAACAAGGTAAAATTTTGGTGGACACTCGTACCTTGAAAGCCCAGGAAGAAGACCCTGCGTCTGTTGCGCGTCCTCCTCGGTGCTGCACAAAAATGGATGCTGCTCGTCACACGGTTGCGGAACCCATGTACCAGCTAAGGTTACATGAACATGAAATTAGGGAGGAAACCCACAGAACATGGTCATTTAAACCCATATTTACGAAGGCGCTAACAAGGCTAATCAATGAGGGAAACAAACTACGTCAGACCCAAGATTACTAGCCCAGATGATCTAGGCACCTGCTTCGACGAAAATAAAAAAAGTAGATCAAACATAATCACCAAGTGGTTTAAGATAGAACGTATGATGAAGGTGACGCACCAGTTGAAATCGACACACATTTCCCCTTTGAATTTACTGAGGAAGTGTCCCAGTATGTATCAGGTATAGCACGATAACCGGAGACCCATCGGAGTATGCTATGAGACCAGTGCAATCCGATCCAGACAGAGCTCGATTTACCGCGGACCTGATATAAAAAAAGATAATTTACCAAAGAATGTAAAAGATATTGTTTCTAAATATCACTTTGATAAATTTTTCAGACAAGCAACATTGTGACATAGAAATAAACTTGAAATTAGTTGAACGAAAGAGAAATGGACGTATTAATAAGACAGTTAAAACCTCAGAGAGTGTTTGCAGATGAAGTCAATATAGCAAATATAAAAGCATGCAGTGTTCTATCATGACCACTTAAACGACCGTACATCATTGCATACAATGGCTTTAAATAGTCGAAAGCATTTAATCAGCTTGATAACATGGAAATACAGGACCTACTGAAACGTTCTGAAAAACAAAAAGCAAATATGCATAAAGCAACATGCAAATTATCCAAACTTGCATTTTCCAGATATTTAGTGACAAAATCCTGAATTGAGTGATTGGGGATCGTTGCAAGCGAAGAATTCATTTCTGCGCATTTTTTGTTTGCAGCATAAAATGCTAGTGGCTCAGCGTGGAAAGTAAAGCACCATTTTAAGTGCCCATTAGTAATGCATTTTTGACTGTTTTCCGCGGCATTAACGCAAAACAGAAAAAACAACCACAGGGACCAACGAAGCATCGTCGGAACAAAACGAATGACGCGGTTGATCGTGCAAATCACTTAAACAAATGCAAATAAATTATGTACATACTTATGAATCAGTAAGATCATGGAGTGCCAATAAAAATGTATTTTTATGCTTTAAAAAAAGATGCCTCTAGCGGACATTTAGTAAAACTTTTTATTTGAGAGTATGTTTCAGTTAAACTAATGTAAAGAAACCCATCAGAATCGTGCAACATGCACCAGTTGTTAAAGATTTTTCATGTTTATATAGCGTTTTAAAGTTAGTGCTAACACTTTGTTACAGGTTACATTGATTTTCCCTTTTCAGTTTTTGTTTAACTGCATTTTATATCCCTTTGAGTCTCCGCTCATTCGGTGATTTCATTTGAAAAAGCATGATAGAATTTGGCCAAGCAATCGCATATCATGAAATGGTTTTGTAGAACGTTTGTATTCAATAGGTTTTGACATTTAACCTGGCATTATTGAACATTTTCGCACTAACTTCTTTACACTCTCGATGATCCTTTAGGAACTGGGTTGTCATTTTAAGCAAAACTGATCATGATAACGAGTAACCATTAAATATATTCCATGAGCGTCATGTTAAGTGCATAAGACATGACAATGTCAGTCACGGATTTTTTTACAAAATGTAGGCGTTACACGTCTTACTGTTCGATTTGATGACATATTTTTGGTAGACATACTGTAGCCCAGTCAACCACTTTTTCTTTTTAATTTTTAGGCCAACATCAATAAGGTCTAAGCCATTATATAACGAAGCTATAATCCATGGTTGACGCCGGTTCCGGCTGAAAAATACTAATTCCATCGCAAAGGCTATCCCTGATTTTTTCGTTGATCATACCCATGTAAATG